CTCTTGAGCTTTTTCTGTCTTTTTTTTTTTTTGTCTTCTTAGTTTCTCTGGACTGCTTGTTAAACCAGGGGCTTGCCTTGCCCTTTTCGTCAACTGTAACACTCCACCACTCTAGCTTGCCAATTAGCCCTGTACTGATACGCCAACAGGTATTGTCTCGTGTCTCGCTTTCCTAAACGGGAACTCCTCACATGGACTGGAACGTGTGTGATGTATGCCCCAGCCTCGGCCGTCATTGTCAGGAAAGAGCGTACTTACAGCCTGGAGGGCTCCCTGCAGCACAATGCTCTAGGAACTTGGGGATAATCTATCAGTCCACCATCACACACTGTGAGGAGCAGCCTCTCAACACCAAACACATCTAGACGTTTCAGAAATGATTAATGCATTTGATGTTTCTCACAGAAATCGATGGATGTGCGACTAGAAGATACCATCAGATGGTACTATATTACTAAGATCAATCCAAGATCTACTGGTCGAATTTAATACGTTTCAATAAATAATAATAAATTATAATAATAATATTGATAATATTTATAACCATAATCATCAAAATGATAACAGCTTCATTGCAGACTGATGTCTGCTTTGATATGATAAAGGCGTACTCACTCTTGTTCACTAAGTGACGAGAAAAACCCACTTACAGTAATATATTACATAATTACTCACAAAACACTGGTGTTTAAGCTGTAGATGCAGGTAATTATTTACTAAACGAAAGGGAAACAGAAGTTCAGAGTCAGATGCTGAGATGAGCAAGTAGGGTCCCTCGAGCACTGCACCTAGACAGTTGTTATTCCAAATCTATCAAAATAGACCTAGTGGGAGAGATGAGGTTGTAAATATCGAAGTTTGAAGTACTAAACAATGCCAAACTAATTGGTGGAGTACAAGCTAAAGTACCTACAGGTATCCGAACAAGAAAAACGCTTGGTAGTAGTAGCAACAGTACCAGTACTCACGTCGGAGGAACATATCAACGGTAAATTCAAGATGCTCTTAACATACTTGGTACAACCTGTCACAAGTTAGGCTTAGTTATAAATGCAGATAAAACCAAATACGAGTATAGGAAACGAAGAAATATAACACTTACTCTAAATGGTGTGGAACTGAGCCGTGTACAGAAGTACAAGTATCTGGGCATGTATGTTGGATACACATGTGAGAGTAAAAATGCTGAAATAAATCATATCAGCACCTTATGTAAAGCCCGTCTGCATCCTCTAAAAGCACTGGCTTTTTCTGGTAAAGGTGTTGGGGTACCTATCTTGCGGATGTTATACATAAGCACTGTTCGATCCCTGATAGACTACGCAGCACCCGTATTGTCTTACACAGGCCAAGGCAGAATTCAAAAAATAGAGCTGATACAGAACGAGGCTATGAGGATTATTCTTGGATGTCAAAGAAATGCAATGATTGAAATAATGAGAATGGAATTAAATTTACAGAGTGTGTGTGATAGAGTCCGTGACATTAACACTAGAGTATCTATTCGTTTCATGCGGAGAAAAGGAGGGGATAAGCTGTTTGAGAGCGTTCAGACCTGCTTGAGTGACGTACACACTTCCAGGAAACTGAGGGAGACACGCTATACGAGAGGATTAGCTCATGACCTCAGGGAATACGACGTACTTGACTGCTGTAAACCCTCTCGACAGTGTAATATGTCTGCTCCCTGGATAGTACAGAAAATAGACGTCGAAATTGTACCCCTCAAGGTGAAAAAGATTCATCATGAACCGGGACAATTACGGTGTTTGTATGGAAGCATGATACCTCGGTTACCAAGAGGCAACAGTTTACATGTATATTGCGACGGGTCGGTGGCGGAAGATGGCAGGGCAGGGTGTGGTGTCCTAATAAGGGATTATACGGAGTTTGGGACTGTGGACAGGATAATTGAACTCCGGCTTAGTAATTATATATCATCCACACAAGCTGAACTGCAGGCCATTCTGGCGTGTTTGGAGGAAGTACGTCATGACGACAAAAATGTTTTTGTATTTGTCGATAGCCGAGGAGCACTGGAGTCCTTAAACAGTCGAAACCCAGTCTTCATGTCTATAGTGGAGGACTGTAAGAGAAGAATAACTGAGATACAGCTGAAAGGTTATAGTGTGAAATTCATGTGGATTCCGTCTCATGTTGGAATAGTGCTCAACGAGGTGGCGGATGACTTGGCCAAACGTGCCACATCAAAACCACAAGTTGACATTGAATGTGAATTCACAATGAGACAAATAAGAAGCAAAATCAGAAATATTCAGGCACAGGCGGGAGTGGAGAGGAGAGAGATAATGTATGAGAGAAGTCAAACCATGCAACACTACATGTATGTGAGTCAAAACACCCATTTCACTTATGGTAAAAGGAGAAATGCTTGGAGTGACTCTGTGTACATGCGGCTCAGGCTTGGGTACAAATATTACTGGGAATATGGGATAGATGTTCATGGTAATGACACGAAGTGTAAACTATGTGGTATGTTAAGGTCTCACACCCTTGCCCATTATATTCTTCATTGTCCGTTGATTAATGTATATAGAAACACTGAGATAAGGACTGTTCCTGAACAAATAGCCTGGATGTGTCACAACGGAAAGGTTGATGATATTCTTGAGAGATATAAGAATTTTGCACCAAGATTGTAATATTTTGTTGAATTATCTGCAGGTGTCTTGCAAATTGTCTATATAGTATACCTAGGTCATAAAAGTATTTGTGTGTACGTCTGATACCATACTACTTGTGAAGGAGGAAATGTATATGTTTACCTCTCAGAATGTTTGGTAATATGTTTATTGTTTGTGATGTGTGTCTATGTATATATTAACACGTTGTACTGAATGGGGTGAGAATAGCTTGAGCTACCTCATCCCTTTGTGTGTATTTTACCTCAATAAACTTATTTCAATTTCAATTTCAATTTCAACGTAAGAATTAATGTCAAAACAAATCCTAAAATCGTAAATCTAAGACAATTTACACAACCTACATCGGTCTCATCCTAGAATAAGCAGCACCGGCATGGAATACGCCTCTACTAAAGCACCTATTAAAGATAGAACATTTTCAGTTTACAACAAGGCTTCCAGAACTGAAGGATCTTAAGCTGCGAGAACAGGTTACAGAACTCCTTAAAAAAACAACTAGAGTTTTTTTTAAAAAGGACCAGAGGAGCTATGGCCACTACATACAAGCTGCTGAGGAAAACACACATGGATAGTCTTTTAAAATTGAGAGAAAATAGGAGCTGAGGATATGAGTAGCTGGAAACGTAAATGACTCAAAGAGACGAAGACAATCATGTGCAGAGTGGGGGGAGGGGAGGGGGGCGCTGATCTCACCACTTCCTTCAGGAGCGCTGAAGGAAGTGGTGGAATCCACCTCCATCTATACCTTCACATACAATACTGTGCCTCTATATTGTGGTAGAAGTATTGTGCCTTCTGTGGTGGTAGTATTGTGCCTTCTGTGGTGGTAGTATTGTGCCTTCTGTGGTGGTAGTATTGTGCCTTCTGTGGTGGTAGTATTGTGCCTTCTGTGGTGGTAGTATTGTGCCTTCTGTGGTGGTAGTATTGTGCCTTCTGTGGTGGTAGTATTGTGCCTTCTGTGGTGGTGGTATTGTGCCTTCTGTGGTGGTGGTATTGTGCCTTCTGTGGTGGTAGTATTGTGCCTTCTGTGGTGGTAGTATTGTGCCTTCTGTGGTGGTAGTATTGTGCCTTCTGTGGTGGTAGTATTGTGTCCACTAACTTCTCTGTCCACACGTGGGAACAGCAACTCAGAGCATTGCTGGAAGCCGCTGTCCTCCTTATCACATTAAAACATTTAACATTATTAACAGTGTAGGTAATCGATAGCCTATCCTTAATCTTTCATTTTATTTACAAACCTCAAATTTGAGCTATGTGATTTTTATATTAATCGATTACCATACGATTTCCTGTTACACATTTTCCTAAAAAGTCGAAATAATATTTTGTTACCGTAATTCAAAATAAAGGCTGGGATCTAGATTATTGACGGTGACGTTTGCTGGGTGTAAGTCACTCCGAAGCCAACATCTTATGGTTTCCCTTTCCATCAGTTCCTTATTTGGTTAAATTAATTCTATTTAACACCCACCAATATCTTCGGGGTTTGTGAACGCCTGGAGCACAAACACAAACAAATGAACCCACAAATTCAGAGCTTCACTTTGATAAATACTCAACTGCCTAATTGCATCATTTCTCATTTAGACGCGCCATGGAGCTCAATTAGCACTAATTAGGAACTCTTCACGAGGATATGACTCCGAGGCAGAGAGCAGCAGTCCGCTGATAAGCTAATAATTGACGGTGATTGAGAGAGGAGAGGCAAGGCTGGCTGACCTCCGCCAATACTGTTTTATACTTAGTGATGGAGAGCTTCGAATGTCTCTTAGTAGCTAGTTCTCTCTGAGTCTAGTATGTATGCCGTCTGTGGTGGTAGATATGCCTTCTGTGGTGGTAGATATGCCTTCTGTGGTGGTAGGTATGCCTTCTGTGGTGGTAGATTTGCCTTCTGTGGTAGTAGATATGCCTTCTGTGGTGGTTCTCAAATTATAAATCCTCCAACAAAAAAAAATATAAATCTACCAACAAAAAAATCATGTCTGCCAACAAAAACAAAACTCCAAATCCTCCTCCAACAACAACAACAAAAATCCTCCAACAATTTATTTTTTAAATTCCGCCAATCAAAAAAATCTTCAATTTATTAAAACACTACGGCAGTGTAGTATGTTTCTCCATTATTATTATTATTATTATTATTATTATTATTATATTTAAATGTACAAAGAATGGAATATAATGCACTATAGTTATAAATATAGATCCATTGATGAAAAATATACACCGAATTGAATAAATTGCAATTGATATTTCAACATTACTATCCCCCCCCCTATTTTGTATCATTGTGCAATCCAATTAATCCGAGGTGTATGTATGTGTGCCCTGCAGACCTGCCGGTGATGGGCGTGTGGGCGCGAGATGTGGGCGAGGCCGGGGTGGAGCTCGGGTGTGTGGTGGAGGGTCGCCCCAGACCAGCCATAGCCTGGTACAGAAACAACACACGCCTCTCCCCTGCCGGGTGCCACGGGTACGCACCTCACTGGGGGGCGTGTTACCGTAGGCGTGGGAGGGGGGAGGCATGACAACTATCAAAGGGAGGAAAGCTTCAGGGGCCAAGTTCAAGTATGTTTATTGAGATAAGCAATAAATACATCTCAAAGGGATAGAGTAGCTTAGGCTATTTCTACCCCCCCTCTTCAGGGGCCATTACCACTATATAGCACTTGGAAGGGATAAGGATTTGGGATGGGACGGGGGGAAGGAATGGTGCCCAGCCACTTGAACGGTCGGGGATTGAACGCTGACGACCTGCACACGAGGGGAGACCGTCGCTCTATCCTCCAGCCCAAGTGGTTGGACGTAGCCGTGGATGGTTGTGAGTGTGGATGGTTGCCAGTATGCGTGGTTGTGCGAATGGATGGTTGTCAGTGTGGATAGTTGTGAAGATTGGTTTGAATGATTGTGAGTGTGGAGGGGTTTCGACAAAGGGTTGTTGTGGGCGAGTAGCAGTTGTCAGGATTGTGGGTTGAGTGTGGATGATTGTGAGTGATTGTAAAGGAGGCGGTTGTACAGTCCAACACACCACAGAAGGTGCAAAAGGAGGCCACAGATAAATCAGGGAAAGCAAAAAAGGAAGGAAAAGTAACTCAATAGTCCATATAATGAGAAGGGGAAAAATATGGCAAGAAAGAACAAATGATGCCAGTAGCGTTATGGTGCGGGTCCCGTTGATGGTGAGAGGCTTGGTGTGGGTCCCGTTGATGGTGAGAGGCTTGGTGTGGGTCCCGTTGATGGTGAGAGGCTTGGTGTGGGTCCCGTTGATGGTGAGAGGCTTGGTGTGGGTCCCGTTGATGGTGAGAGGCTTGGTGTGGGTCCCGTTGATGGTGAGAGGCTTGGTGCGGGTCCCGTTGATGGTGAGAGGCTTGGTGTGGGTCCCGTTGATGGTGAGAGGCTTGGTGTGGGTCCCGTTGATGGTGAGAGGCTTGGTGTGGGTCCCGTTGATGGTGAGAGGCTTGGTGTGGGTCCCGTTGATGGTGAGAGGCTTGGTGTGGGTCCCGTTGATGGTGAGAGGCTTGGTGTGGGTCCCGTTGATGGTGAGAGGCTTGGTGTGGGTCCCGTTGATGGTGAGAGGCTTGGTGTGGGTCCCGTTGATGGTGAGAGGCTTGGTGTGGGTCCCGTTGATGGTGAGAGGCTTGGTGTGGGTCCCGTTGATGGTGAGAGGCTTGGTGTGGGTCCCGTTGATGGTGAGAGGCTTGGTGTGGGTCCCGTTGATGGTGAGAGGCTTGGTGCGGGTCCCGTTGATGGTGAGAGGCTTGGTGTGGGTCCCGTTGATGGTGAGAGGCTTGGTGTGGGTCCCGTTGATGGTGAGAGGCTTGGTGCGGGTCCCGTTGATGGTGAGAGGCTTGGTGTGGGTCCCGTTGATGGTGAGAGGCTTGGTGTGGGTCCCGTTGATGGTGAGAGGCTTGGTGTGGGTCCCGTTGATGGTGAGAGGCTTGGTGCGGGTCCCGTTGATGGTGAGAGGCTTGGTGCGGGTCCCGTTGATGGTGAGAGGCTTGGTGTGGGTCCCGTTGATGGTGAGAGGCTTGGTGTGGGTCCCGTTGATGGTGAGAGGCTTGGTGTGGGTCCCGTTGATGGTGAGAGGCTTGGTGTGGGTCCCGTTGATGACAACAGGCTTGGTGTAGGTCCCGTTGTCGTGAATAATGGCGGAATGATACATTACTGTGTGCCTATTTTATGTGTGTGTGTGTGGGAGGGGGGGGGGGGAAAGATTGCCTTTCGTTATACATTCTGCGGATATTGCAGACTCAGTCTTTCATTCAAGGGAATGAACTCTTGCCTCCCATCTCCCTCTGTGCCCCAACCACTTGGGCTGGACGGTAGAGCGACGGTCTCGCTTCATGCAGGTCGGCGTTCAATCTCCGACCTTCGAGTTGGTTGAGCACCATTCCTAACCTCCCCGTCCCATCCCAAATCCTGATCCTCATCTCTTCTAGGTTCTATATAGTCGTAATGCCTTGGCGATTTTTTCTGGTAGTTACGTCCTTCAGGAGTAGTAGGAGGTTTAAAAATATTAGACGCGTCAATTCAACGTTGAACCGACGTTCATAGGGTTGGGTAGGTAGGACTGGGTAGCCTCTTACCCAGAACTGTCTCTGCAGGAAGGTGGAGGTGCGGTCGCTGGTGTTGTCCCCGGGCTTCCTGCTCTCTGTGGTCCGCATAAGCAACATCAGCTCCTCAGACTTCGCCTACTACCACTGCCGCGCCACCAACGGTGTGGGCGTCACCCGAGCCTACGTCCTGCTGCACCACTATTCTGGTACCTGTATACCTCTCTACCATATACAACATTAAGTCGCCATAACGTATTCAGTTTACACAAATACTTGGTTCACTTAGTAGGATAATTTTCCCTAAATCATACAACTTTTCCGAAAAAAACAAAACAAAAAATGAGACGAAGATATGTACACATGTAATTCTCAGGAGAAAGCGCTAAGTCTATATGTCTATATGACAATAGGACTTGGAAGGGGCATTGAGGGACGGAAGGACAATTTTATACTTATGTTTTAATCCAATATTGTAATTAATAAGGATGGTTGCTCATCATGCTTATCATTCTGGGATTTTGAAGCCTGGGTTAAAAACCTGCCGTTTTATCCATCATAAATATTTCCAAGCCTTATAGCCTACCAATTCAATATGTGTAGGACATGATCTAAAAGCCTATATATCTCTATATAACTAGAGGCAGCTGCACGATGATGGTGTGCCTATGATAAAGACAAAATTATTGGGCCCATAAGGAGGCAATTCTGTTATTACACTGTTAAGTGTAATAACACTTAACAGTGTAATACGTATTGGCGTATGCCTTTCCATTGGAGACTTTCAGCGCCGTGGAGAGGGGGGACCTGCTGCCTGGGTAACAGCTTCTCCCCCGAATCAACCTACCCTGGCTTTGCGCCCTGGTGAGGCCACTCCAGACCGACAACCAGAGCGCAACTGCATAGTCTCCTGAGACTGATGGATGCCTACTACTAAGTCTTATATTTGTTTATTTTTGTCTGAATATGTAATAATGACAACATTTTGCATCACCAGGGTTGATGGACATAGCTGAACTGAAGCCAGAAGAGATACCAACGTACAGAATAGCAGTTGAAAATCCTCGCTTGGCGTCCTTCCTGGTGGGCATGGTCCCCCCCATGTATATTGCCCTCTACATCATTGCCTACCTCGGCTGCTACAAGACTTCTATGACAGACAGCACCGCCCAAGGACGGTTCGGTGTTAACTTGGACATCGAATAATTGACGAGATTCTAATGTTTTCTTCGGTTCACCACCTTAGTGCCAATCTTTAGGGCAAGATTGTTGTGTTGTCTTTTAGGGCAAGATCTCAAGATAACCTCTCAAGATATCTGTAGTGCCGAGTGTTGTGTTAGTATATGGCCCACAGTGTGGGTGGCTTCGTGCCCTTCACGACCCTGGTTGCCTTAGTCTGGTCTCCTCCTTCACCTCCACTACCTATGCCAACACTATTACTATTATTTTCATAATGCTTATCTTATTTTGGGTGAACAATAGTTCTAGCATATCAATGGATCGTCTCCTTGTGCTTCTTGTTGGCTAAGTAATATACTGCCTCAAATTTTTTTTCAGTTTTGTTCATTATCTTTGTCTTCACATTTCATCCACACTGTACAGTCCTTTTTTGCCAATTATATTTCCCTGTGATTAAAATCTCCAATTATTATGGATTATCCCTCACTTCCCTTGCCACTGTAGCCTCCTGTGGAACAGGACCAATGTAACCACATAAATTAATATTCGCTGATCTATTATATGCGAAATAGGCACGTATGAAATAAGAAATATTTTCTGGAGCGTTTTCGACCCTACTTAGGTCAACAGCTATTAACAATGACGGTCTCAACCTCAACAAGCCTCAATGTAGGATAAAAAAAGGAGAGGCTATTTCACCCGTAGAGTTATATCCCTTGGAACTGCCTACTCGCCAAAGCCGTACATGCCAAATCATTGCTGAATTTCAAAATCCAGCTTGATAAAATGATCAGGACAAATAAGGGGATCTTTGACACGCCACTGGCTTCCTGACCTCATCCAATAAACTAAGATAATGGCCCTCACATAAATTCAGGTAGATATATGTTTATTATGGGCTAAATATGATAGGTTGAATTATTTTGAAATTTGTGCATACATCAGTGATAATGTTTTAATTAGATCGAAAAATTGTTTTGAATTTTGTGTTCGGGAACATTTTCATGGTCATGCCAGTCTGAAAGTCGCCAGGAGGGTCCCAGGGGTCCCTGTGGCACCATGGCATATATATGTACTCATTTAATTAGTACTGATCTTGACCTAGCCATGTTGGGCTGGTATTGAACCCCAAGTACTGGGGGAAAATTGATGGGGCAGGGTGTATAAAGAGTGGGATGAAGCGTGTATAGCTGAGCAGTGGACAGATGTTTATATACTTTGGAAAAACTGGATGGTACCTGGAACAAATCACATTTGTTTATCCAATCTTCTTTGTGATTATACAATAATCAAAAACATTTCTGTTCAAACATTTTGATACCAAAATTAATGTTCTAACTCTGGAAACATCTTCACAAACAACAAATAAGTATAACTATTGATCATGTACCTGAGGGAGGAGGTGCAGGGATGGTTCACATTATACAAGGATCTGGCCAACATTCCCGGGTGTAATGACACTCCACCACTTGACCTGTATGGTACTTAAAATAAAAATGGTTAATAATACATTAACATTAAAAATGGCATTTATTTTATACCTACTTTATGTACAAGATACACAAAAATAACAATATTCGAAGTGTGACAGCAAATAGTTTTATTAATACTAATACTATACCACAAAATGGATTAAGAATTAGTAATAAAATACCCTCCGCCCTCCCTTCTCATAAGAAAATTGGAAACCGTAAGTATTCTGGTGGTGACAGAGGCAGTGTGGACCACACTAGTAATAAGGTTTCTCTACGGAATCAGTGTAAACATCTTACTTCGTAGGGCTGTGTACTGTAGGTTACTAGGACCAAATTTCAAGTACAGTACTAGCCATTAATCAATTGAAAGTAAATTCATTGTCACAAAAGAAATAAAATAAAATACAGCACTACAGAAAAACATCATTAATTTACTTAGTTTCTCAGTAGTGTTCAGTTTTTTATATAACGATGTGGTTATGTCAAGATAAAGGCCACTCAGAATGTGGAGAGTGACCTTCAGCGATAGTCGAGGCGCACTCGGGACCTTCGGGAATTGCTCGAGCACACTCAAAATATAAAAACCCAGCCTCCAAAAATTTATAATGATAGCACTTATAGCTACTAACAGCAGAACACACAAAAATGGACTGTTGTACTCAAAACAAATTCATGTTTTGTACTACTGGAATGCCCCAAATGGTATGCCAAAAACTGAAATAGAAAGTATATAACCTACCCTAACCTATCCTAGACGTAAATAAGCAATTCTAGTCCTAATATATGCAACTTTATTCCTAAATAAGTACATTATAAGTCATGATGATGGTGTGTGTATATATATATATATATATATATATATATATATGCTATACTAGGTCTAGGAAACTTTAGGTTTCGTTATTGCCTTCTTTCTAGGGCTCCTCTATAAAATTAATAGATCAAAGTGTATTTTTGAGTGCAACAGTTCACTTTTATACATTCCACCTGTAGTTGATGTACTGTACTTTCTGGATGACAGGTTGTAATATAAACCTTGTGGAGGTACACTGCTGCAACACTGCCACACACCTGTCATGATGACAGTGTTGCTGGAGTGCCCCACCACAATACTGCCACACACCTGTCATGATGAAGGTGTAGCTAGAGTGCCCCACCACAACACTGCCACACACCTGTCATGATGACGGTGTTGCTGGAGCGCCCCACCACAATACTGCCACACACCTGTCATGATGACAGTGTTGCTGGAGCGCCCCACCACAATACTGCCACACACCTGTCATGATGACGGTGTTGCTGGAGCGCCCCACCACAATACTGCCACACACCTGTCATGATGACGGTGTTGCTGGAGCGCCCCACCACAATACTGCCACACACCTGTCATAATGACGGTGTTGCTGGAGCGCCCCACCACAATACTGCCACACACCTGTCATGATGACGGTGTTGCTGGAGCGCCCCACCACAATACTGCCACACACCTGTCATGATGACGGTGTTGCTGGAGCGCCCCACCACAATACTGCCACACACCTGTCATGATGACGGTGTTGCTGGAGCGCTCCACCACACACATGTTATGATGACGGTGAACAAATCCTCAAGGGCCGTGACGAGGATTCGAACAAAGAGTTCATTTGATAAATCACGCTATTGTGATTTCTGTGTGTAATGAAGTAAGAGCAAAGAGGTAGAACGGCCTATTGACATAGCTCGAGTGCAGGGGGGAGTTGTGTAAAACCCTGGTTTGTGTCTCAGAGAGGCTGCAGGATCCAAGTCAATTCAGTAGAATTTATGGTTGCCATTCTTTTACCACGTCGTAGCTCAGTCGCTTAAGGCAGCGTCTGGGATGCTCTCAGACGTAGGTTCGAATCCTCGTCACGGCCCTCGTGAATTTGTTCATTTGATGCATCACGCTATTGTGATTTCTAGTCACCACCGGGTCACAGCACTACGCAACACCATATAACACGGACTCGGCCCCGGGTGAGCGGTGTGTCGTCGACTACTTGAGGCCCAGCAACTGCTTCTCCTTCTGCTTCTTCTGCACCATGTCAACATTGCGATCCTTCCATGTGCTCTTGCGCAGCTTGATTGGCCGTGATCCCACGTACTTTCCTACAACAAAGCATTTCACTAAAATTTAGTTTTACTCATCATACTTTAGTTAATACAACAATCCAGAATGTAAATTATTGATGATTAATGGGAAAAGTTAGGATAAAAGGAACATGCGCAGGATTCTGGTAAAGTTAAACATTCGCAGCATAAAATATTAGACACGGAAATGTGAGTTCAACGGTATAGGTCTAATGGCTCTAAAATAATAAGGTTTGCACCTGATGTATTGAGGTTCTCGAGGTTCCCACACACCCGAGTAAAGACATTTTCCAGAATGTGGTCCTGGCTTGTCTTAACAGCATGAAGGTGGTTGAAAAGATGGTCTCTGGCGGCACATTTCCCGACATAAACGTGGTGGTGTAACCAGCAGTGTCGAGGGAGTCTAGGCAGCACAGGCTGGTGTAATGTAGTGGCGTTTATAGTGGTGGCGATGGCCGAATATTTGGCTATACTGAACCTCAAAAGTATAACGGGAGACATCTCCCGTAACGCAGGGTGCAGTCGCACCTCCACAGATCTCCAGTATCAGCTCTTGATACTGGTAATGGCTCAAAAGGGCCACCTCTTACGGGCTATTCATGCCCGTGCCACCTTTTGGGTGGCTTAATCTTCATCAATCAATCAAAAGTATAGCAAGCAGTGAAAGGAGCTGGTAATGTAAGGAGGTAACCGAGGAGGTGGTTGGGCAGGCCAGTGGGGCTAAGGTGGATTAAATGACAACAGGGCACTAGTGGGGGATGACTATAGATTGATCTATAGATCAATTTCAAATTATCACAGTTCCGGTAACAAAATTAAAGTTTGTGGAGGGAATAATTGTAATTTTCAAAACTATTTAGACATACACAATTAGGAAATAACACTTACTACCCCCGGCACAAATAGGTGCCGGGGTAATAAGTATGCGTATGTCCCACAATGACCACATACGCATACATACTTAACACACGCATACACGCTGGAGGCAGACTCCATATACAGTTTGAAATGTAGATATGATAAGAGCCCAATAGGCTCAGGAATCTATATACCAGTTGGTTGATTGACAGTTGAGAGGCGGGACCAAAGAGCCGAAACTCAATCTCCGCAAGCACAACTAGGTGAGTACATACTGACAATGCAGAGATACACAAACCTAAAAACACACAAATCCATGAATGGACCTGCCAGAAATAAACTAATAAGTTATATCCGTTTTGCGAGCCAAGTAACTCACATTCCATAGGCCTACCCAGAGCAAAAGATAAAACTATGCCCAAAAATCCTTTACTTGATGCCATTAGGATGAAAAGTAAACTTGCACGTGAATAACGCTAAGTAAGGAAGGTGAAACACAACAAGGAGACGGCCTTAAAGACACCAGAAAGAAGACAAGGTCTTCGTCCACTTCGTCCCACAAGGTCTTCGTCCATTCGTTGATTCTTACAAGTTCAAGAAGCAATTAAGAAATTCCCTGGTAGACCAACCGGGTTGTAGTTGATATGTGGGCCTGCGGGCCGCTCCAAGCAACGGCCTGTTGAGCCAAGTTACCACAAGTCAAGCCTGGTCCCGGGGCGGGCTTGGTGAGTAGAACTGCCAGACCCCACTCCAGGTATACCCCAGATGTACAGGCTCGTGAATGTCTACAGATAATTAGGTAGACTGCTACACAGCCAGGCTGACAGGTAGTGACACGCACGCTTCTTAAGAGCAAAAATGACTCCCCAGGTGCATCATGGATCCAGCCATCATTATCCTCCCAGCCTTTCTCACCTTTTTATGTGAATTTGTAAATCATGTGTAATAAAGGACGTTAAGAGTGTGAGAAGCCCACACATGCGCCCTCTCCCCATTATAGTCGCCAGCCGGGTGTCACACTTTTATCAAAGAATGTAAAGAACACCTATCACTATCAATACAAAAAATTATTATTTTTCTCGAATATATCGCTTTGAACTGGCCGGCTCAATCATTTTTCAACGTCGCCACCTGAAAACTTGCCCACAGATGTTACAACCCGTTCTCGCACTTTCTTCCAAGTCAATATTGACTTATTAAATAAATGCATATGTGACATACTAATTTATTGTGAATATTTTATTTTACCTTGAAAAGCTTCATAGAAAACATCGACCTTACCTAACCTTCTTAGTATATTAAGATAAGCATCTTATTGCTTCGAAATTACAATTATTACTTAACCTATACCTATAATTGGTTAAGTAATAATTGTAATTACGAAGCAATAAGATGCTTATCTTAACATACTAAGAAGGTTAGGTAAGGTCGGTGTTTTCTATGAAGCTTTTCAAGGTAAACTAAAATATTCACAATAAATTAATATGTCACATATGCACGTATTTAATAAGTCAATACTGATTATAAGAAAGTGCGAGAACGGATTGGATATTAGCCAGCAAGACACGGGCGGCCACCCACCCGACACACTCGCCCAACAGCCCGTCCTCATCAACAATGGCCACATGCTCATTAATCCAGCCGCTAAGCTCATGTTCATACATGAACAATACTTTACATACGACCCAGCAGATGACGTTCCAGCATTGCTGCGCGCTCGATAACTGCTTCACTCACGTAGTGTAAATACAAATAATTGCCACCAGAACCTTAAACACCCAATCTAAATGTACATGAAATTACAGTATACAACAAAAACAACAACAACTACAACCACCACCACCGCCGCAGCAGCAGCAGCCGGCAGCCAGCAGCAGGCAGCAGCAGACAGCAGCCAGCAGCAGGCAGCAGCAGCATGGACGAGTAGGGCCTGACGGGAACACCGCCATTCTCACCTGTGTTTACACCGTGTTCCCTTTTTTCGCCTACCATCCGTGCTAAACAGTTTATCTATCTTTATCTACCCTGTCAATTCCTATGAAAAATTTTATAGGTAGTGATCATGTCTCCCCTAACTCTTCTGTCTTCCACTGTTGTGAAGTATTGTTCCAGTAATCTTTTCTCGTGGGTCATTCGTCTTTAGCTCGGGGACTACTAGCCTGGTGGCATACCTCTGAACCTTTTCTAACTTCGTTTTGTCTTTGATTACACAAGTTTCTGAAGGCAGTTCTTATGTTCGCCAGCTTTGCATACGCCGCTGTTGTTATCCTTTTGATGTGGCTTCAGGGGACAGGTCTGTTGTGATATCATCCCCCAGATCTCTCTCTCTTCCTGACTTCTGAAGGATTTTCTCTCCCAGCTGGTACCTTGCGTTTGGCCTCATGTTCCTACGCCTATCTTCATCATTTTGTACTCGATCTAATTAAACTCTAGTAGCCATTTGTTGAACCATTCCTTCAGTCTGTGCAGGTCATCCTGTAGCCTCTTGCTATCCTCCTCTGTCTTCAGCCTTCTCATAATTTTAGCATCATCAGCAAACATTGAGAGGAATGACTCTATACATTTTGAAAGATCATTTATGCATATTAGAAAGAAAATAGATCCGAGTGCAGAACCCTGTGGGATTCCCTAGTGATCACGTCAGTCTGAGGTCTCACCCCTCACAGTAACTCTTTGCTTCCTGTTGTTTAGGTACTCCCTTATCCATTGGAACACCCTACCACTTACACCAGTTTTTTTAAAAGCACCGAATCACCTGTGGTTGAGTGTTCAATAAACCCCTGAACTATATGTTTAACACATCTCTAACCCTGTCCATGGAAGACAGAAGAAAATGTATTGAGGTGGATGAACCATAGCCCACATTCAAGATTCTGAAGGGAATCGATAGGGTAGATAAAGACAGGCTATTTAACACAAGGGGCACACGCACTAGGGGACACAGGTGGAAACTGAGTGCCCAAATGAGCCACAGAGATATTAGAAAGAACTTGTTTAGTGTCAGAGTATTTGACAAATGGAATGCATTAGGAAGTGATGTGGTGGAGGCTGACTCCATACACAGTTTCAAGTGTAGATATGATAGAGCCCAATAGGCTCAGGAATCTGTACACCTGTTGATTGACAGTTGAGAGATGGGACCAAAGAGTCAGAGCTAAACCCCCGCAAACACAACTAGGTGAGTAATGTCATTTCTGAGACAGGATAAACAGCAGGGAACAATTAGTCACTGTCCTTTACCGTCGCTGCCTCCCCTTCCATCACTGTCCCACGGCGCCCTACAGCTTTACCTTAAGTAAGTAAGTAAGTAATTATCAAAAGAAGGCACCAAACCGGGAAGGCTATGTAGCTTTACCTTAAGCTGCCTTCCCTTACCTCAGCTGCCTTCCCTTACCTCATAGTCCCACGGCGTCCTACAACTTTACCTTAAGCTGCCTTCCCTTACCTCAGCTGCCTTCCCTTACCTCATAGTCCCACGGCGTCCTACAACTTTACCTTAAGCTGCCTTCCCTTACCTCAGCTGCCTTCCCTTACCTCATAGTCCCACGGCGCCCTACAACTTTACCTTAAGCTGCCTTCCCTTCCCTCAGACCCTACACCTTTACCTCCCCTGGAACGTCAGGTATTATGTAGCCCCAATAATAATTGCTAATCAACCATTGCCAATTAGCCTACACTCGGCAAAATACAAAAGTCTGGCATGGTTTAAGTTGTGTTGCGTTGGTGTGACAGCAAATTGTCACGAGTGTCTTCTCGTGGCTTCTCGTGATATCACACCAGACTGCACAAGCAGTACTTTGTCTTCTGCTTGTGCAGTTTGTTGTTTGTTATCTACCCTGGAGGTTATCTTTCACCTTCTTTAACATTCAGTCATATTAAGTCATTCAGTCACAGTCATATTCATATTCATAGTGTGAGGGAGAGGGAGACAGTACTCACCTAATTGTGCTTGCGGAGGTTGAGCTTTGGCTCCTTGGCCCCGCCTCTCAACCGTCAATCAACTGGTGTACAGATTCCTGAGCCTATTGTGCTATATTATATCTAAATTTGAAATTGTGTATGAAGTCAGCCTCCACCACATCACTGCCTAATGCATTCCATTTGTTAACTAATCTGACACTGAAAAGGTTCTTTCTAATATCTCTATGGTTCATTTGGGT